CTAAGCCTTCATCAGATACTTTTTAATACTTTGCTTCATTTTACCATTATCTGAAATTCTCTTGTCCATTTATTTATTAATTAAAAAAAAAAGTCTCATTCTGCCCCCCTCTCCACCCTCATACATAAGCTCCCTTAGAACAGGGACCTTGGCTGTCTTGTTTACTACCGTATCTTCAGCACACAGCACACAGTATCCAATAGCTAGTTTTTCAATAAATTATGTGAAAAGGAAATTAATAGATGTGAGAACGTGACATATTTTGACTACAACATACAACTTTGGAAAATTTAGGTACATGGAACCCATTCATATTTCAGTGTGGTCTATCGGTTGAGAGCACAGAATCAGATGGTCTGGCTGTACTGTTTCCTAGCTTGATTATAAGTGTGGACAAATTACCTGATCTCTCTGTACCTTGTTTTCTCATCTGCAAAATGAGAAAAGAGTAATTACTGGATAGGTTGTGGGGAGGATTAAAGAGATAATGGAGGTAGAGTACTGAGAACAGTGTGGGGCCCATATTAAGTGTTCAATAAACTGTATTATTTTTACATATGTCCAATCACTAGTCCACAGTGGGGAATGTGCAGGGACCTGAGTGAAGGATGGAGCACCTCTTCTCCATAGGAGGAAGGCTGGCAGAAGTACAGCACTCTGTTGTAAAGAGACCAATGACCAAATGGAACCTCAGAGCTAGGTGGCCTGAGTGACTACTGAGAGAAGGGGTGCCGACGCATAAGGCTTAGGTACTCAGGGATGGCATGAGCAAGTTAGTAAATGGTGCAGATCACTCTTCAAAGACATGAGGCTACTGACTATAGATAAACACTCTCATGGTCCCAGAGACGCACGCAGGTGAAGTGAGCCCATTTAGAGTATAGAGTAGGACAGTTATGAGTGTTTTAAACTACCTGTTTACATACTGAAAAGAGCCTTACATTTCTGTCTTTGTATAATTTCTCTTTCAGCCTATTTCTTTTGTTAATCATTAGTTGATAGCTTCCCTCACTTTTGTGCCTGTTGTCATTCTGAGATATTTACCTCAGAGGAAAAAACTCATAATTACAGAATAAAGGGCAGATGACCTAGAGTTTGAAATATTAAGGCCTTGACCTCAAAATAGGTATCTCCACAGCTAAGAGTCATACCTATTAGTAATAACTAATAAGAGTCACTTTTTTATTCACAGATTCTAGGACAAGAACTTATAAAAAATGCCAAACTGGACCCAGCCAATGGCTCACACAATCAGCAGAGAATTTGGTCCTTGACAGTCATTCTGAAGAAAGTTTTGTTAACGAGTCTGATAACTGTCCTTCTTGATGTCAGTCTTATATTGAAATGTCCTAGCATCAGCTCTTTAGTTTAACATCATATATTCTTCCATCTGTCCCATCTTTTCCAAATGGAGTTGTTCAATTAACTTGTAACTTCATCAGTTTTCTCAAATAAGAAGGGATCCATGAAAGAAACTTGACTGGTATTAAACTCAACATATATCAAAGTGTACATGGCACTTAGAAATAATTATGTACTTTTTTTCAGACCAAGTGCATTCTGGACATGTGGCCCTCTGCTGAGTAGCTCTTCTTAAAGAGACAATAACTGCCAATTTGACAATATAGCTTCTAAAAATGTCAGAAATAACTCAAGAATTTTAGAAGATGAATTTCACTCTTTGCTAAGACAACACTAGTGGCCAAAATCATATGCTTTTATTCTATTCTCCATATACTTGATTATATGTAATAATCAAGCTTTCTTTTATGATATTTGCCAATAAGTCATCAAGTTAATGAATAGAAGTTTACAGATTTTTGTTGAAATCTTTTGCCAAGAATTTTGAAAGATAACCACTTTTGCTGATGGTAATGTACAAAAATGATGACTTTTATAGAGCCCTCTTTACTTTCTAAGCACCTGAATATATATGACTTCATTTTACTTTATAACAACCTTATGGGATGCATAGAATCTGCTGTGAGGTTTCCACTTTGCAAATAAAAGAACATGTACAGAGAAGTTAAGTGATTTATGACAGGGCCAGATGATGGGGTTGTTCTCTCTTTCTCCAGTTCAGAACATCAGAGAATAGTTCCTAGATGTTTTGGACAAATAAAATTTCAAAAAACATTTCATGGTGCTCAAAATATGGTTGCCAATTTTGTTATTTTTCCAGGTAGAAAAAAATAAATAAATAACTTTTACCTACTATTTTTATCATATCATAAAACTATCCTTTCTTTTATCACCCCAAAATAGGAAAAACATGGTCTTAGGAAAAAAGTGCAGTCTTTTAAATTAATAAAATCTGCTTTATGAGAAAGTCACTACTCTCTCTTTTTTAAATCTCATTTTGCTGTAGACTGGTGAAAACTCTTGTTGTGATTCAAAACTAGTTCTCAGACCAATAGTTGGGAACTATTTCTCTCTTTTGTGCTGTTTCAAAAGTCATACTAACTCTGCTACCTCTTCTCCCCCTTGCATTTCATAGTCTTTACGAAGAAGAGACCAACAAGCACTAAACGTTTTTCCTTTTGAAAGATGCTATTCTTCTAATGCTACTATAACAAAAAGATTAATATCATAACTTTATGTCATAATCAAAACACAGAGTTGTTGATTGACTAGACATGACTAGGCTGAGGGCTAGTAGGGAAGCAGGAAATGGAGAAGCAACATGGTGCCCACCGCAATTACTTTCTTTTCCATATTACTTTAATAAGAACTAAGGACAGGAAAAATGCTTTATGCCTGCTTTCTCATATCTCAATCCACTCAAACTCATCCATGGAAATGAATTACCACAAATACTTCTGTCTAGGCAGAGGCTGTATGTACCACATCTGTCTTTACCTCCACAGCTTTCACCCTTACTCCTCCTCCCAGAGTTGGTTTTATAGTCTGTAAGAAGTTCCCAAGCCTTATATGACAAATAAATACCTAATTTTATAAAAGTTTATAGTTAATCTACCATTGTATTCTACTAGAAAGTCCAAGAGGACTGACGTTGGTTTTGGGGACACTCTTTAACTGACATTTTCCATGTTGACTGTATTCAGAGTTTGATGTGGATGTTATATTTTAACACACACCAAAAGGAATAACTATCAAATCCCATTCAGTCTTATAACCTTGATCAATGCATGATCCTCCAGTATCTGTGATCTTCTTTGATGACTTCCTTCAGCTTTGTGAGGGAGCTACATGAATGGTGTAGTGAAAGAGAAAAGGCAGCCCAATCAGCCAAATCAGCCCTGTGATCAGTGTTACAGCCAGAATATCCCCAACTCAATCCAGTCCCATGTGGAAAGAGGCTCACCAATGGGATGTTTTGTCAAAGAAGGTTCCTGGATGATGATGAAGTTCAATAGGTATACTGTTACATTCCCCAAGAATGTCAAAGTAACACTTTTAAAAAATTCCTTTAATACATACAAATTTTAATCACAATAAAATTTATTTCTGAGATAAAGATAAATGCCTGTATATCATTAAATGACCATACATTAATAATATTTATATTTGTATAGTGTCTTATGGTATATAAAACATTTTAATATATGCCATCATTTCTTAGGAATATTCTGAGACAGGCAATATTATTTCCATTTTATTGAAGGAGACACTGAGACTCAGAGAGGTTATATGATTTGCTCAAGGTCACACAAACAAGAGCCAGAACTTGAGCCTGGTCCTTTGACCTCATGTTCAGCGCTCTTTCCATTAGTCACATTCTTCAAAGGGCAATAAGAATGATAATAAGAACAAATGGAAAATGGCTTTTATTCCATCAGAGCAGAAGGCCAATCTACCAATAACCTCTGAAAGAAGGGCTGCCCATACTATTAAAAAACCTGGAGGGTTTAAGGTCTTCTTTAGTTTTCTCACCATCACTCTAATGCCAATGCCATTTGCGCTCTTCCTATTCAGTTTCTTACAATTCATCACATAAGCAAGCCAATATAGGACAGCCATGAGACCAGGGCAAGAAAAAACACTGGTCAGTCACAAAAGAAATTAGTTGGAATCCTTTTCATTATACCTGCTCTTGCAAAATAAACATTTTTGTGACACTAAATTTTAAAAAGTCGATGGAAATATTGTTAACCACATATTTTTGTGGTTTACATACTAGGCAAGAACTATCCAAAATACGTAAAATAGATTCTGTACAATCAATACTTCGCAAAACAAAACAAAAAAGATACTTAAATAATAAGAAACTAATGACTACAAAGGGGTTAATGGACTCTTATTTTCTACGTAAAAATAAACAGCCATTGCATGAAACATTTATAATGAAAAAGCCTGTCTATTTTAAGTAGATGAGTCTTAGAAGTCAAATTAGGGCTGTGCTTTCTAAAATTAATAACTAGTGTTAATTCAAACCAAAAGTTTGGACAACATTTACTAGTGCTAATAAGATTATCGTGAACATTAGCCTTGCTGTATACCGTGACTGTTTTTTTTCCATATCTGACTATAGGTTCTGTTCAGGATTTAAAAAAAACAACAACACAGGATCATTAGGAACCATTTTCAATACCAGGACAAATAGGCAAGGTAAACTAGGTAGTGTGACTTCTTTGCCCCTCCTTCACATCATTTAGACTGATTAAAACATTAATTTTTACACATGTGAATACACGTAAAGGAGCAAACAACTGGAGACGGCGCTGTGTGCTAGCAATCATTGCGGGTGGGTAAACTGACAACATGTAACTGCATATTAAGACAAATGTAGAATTTAGACAAAGTATTCCATCTCTTTTCAGATGTATACTTTTAAACCTCAGGAACTGTTTTCAGTAGATGTCATGCCTTTTAACTTGAAAAAAGATAAGCGCAAATAAGCTCCCAATTGTCTCCCCAATATGTAAACCACATCTCGGGCTGCTGTCTCTGCTCCTCCTTTGAAGTTTCCCTGAAATGTCATGTGTTGTGAAGACTGCTGTGCATAAGCAAGACAATTTGCTCACTCTCAGAATTCTTACCGGTTTCCACTGCTATTTGGTATCCAGCCTCTAGTCTCCGAGATGACCTTTCCAGCCTCTCTGTGTTATCGAGCAGATGTGCCCTCTGAAAAAGAAAAAGGGAAAAAAATCAGACGGTCGTCTACAATGTTCTTTTTTTGCCTTAAAAAAAAATAACGCTTTTGTATGCCCTAACATTTCTGGGGGGGGGGGGGGGGGGGGGGGAAGGGAGTCACAACCCACTATAGATAATTTTTAGCAAATCTTCCATTATGAGAACCACTTCAAATAGACAGATTTCTAATCAATCTATTGTGTATGGACCATCCACTTTTGTGTTTTAAAAGGCGCACTCATGTTGTATGTGGCCACAATGAATCTTACTCCAAAACACCGAGAAATGCATGAAGACCAGAGCCAACTGGTTCTTTCCTTTTTCAGCAGAGGTAGACGTAAGAGATACTTGCATAGATCTATGATCCTTATTTTGTATTTATGTTTTACAAAATGCTATCGTTTAAAAGCCTTATGTGTTCCTCTGATTCCTGCAGATAGTAATTTTTAAATAGGCGCTTTATTTTTAAGAGAATGTCCCTCAATTTTGGATGTACAGCAAGGTGCCATATAGAACAACATATGCTGCTAAAACAATACTAAACAGCAGTTCTGGTTTTAAGACAACTCGAGGCAACTACCAAGAAACAAGAGACACGTGTATCTCCATGCACACAGATGTACAAAATTGTGGGTTTATTCCCAATATATGGCACTAAACTGAAGTGTGAACTTTTGACATGCAGTGTTTTAGATGGTGAACTAATATTATAATAGTTATATACTCTTTTATATTATATTTGATGGGGAAATTAGAGGATTTCCCCCCAAATCTCAGCTTCTAAACTTTCTTTTCTACATTGAGCCTGGGTTTTTTTTTCTTTTAACTATAATGATCATATACTGGATTGATTCAGATTGACAAACAGATTTATAAGGTAATCATGGCTGTGAAGGGGTAACATGTGAACATGTGTGTATAGACACACATACGTCAGAATACTTAAAAGCATATAAATATGCATATCTGTATATTTGGGTGTGTGTACATGCATACATATATTTGTATAAATTAGTACCTTTCCCCCTCAAATGAGTTTTGGTATCTGGTCAAAAAGAAAGAAAAATGCAACCACAACTCATACAACTTTGTGTTGTTGACAGATGTCATTTAAAATTGAAGCAATGCTTTCTAATAATAATAAAAAAGGAGGTGCCACACATATTATCTGAGTGGCTGTCGAGTCGAAACGATCTACCTTGCTCTAATGAGCCCCCACGGATCTTGGAGATGCAAGCTGTATTGACATGCACACTTAAGCTAATACACCTAGACCAGTGCCTCCAAGCTCTAGCAGCCAGGGATGCTGACAGAATATCTCGCTTCCATCTTCAAAGAAAGGAAGTGATTAGTATGTTATCATTACCATTCAAAACGTGATTTCCTTATTCCCTCCCGGCATAGGTGACACATCTAAGATGCGGCCAGACGTTGGAGGCAGCTAAAGCCACATCAAAGCTTTCCTTGAAATTTTTTTTGGGGGGAAGGGCGGTGGTAGGGGGGAGAATCATTAAAACAATGCATTTAGAACAGAGAGATAGGCCCTGATGTGAAGGTCAGGAAAGCTGCAACAACAGTCTATAATAATTAATAGAGCTGTCTAATATACAGTGGAGAAATTAAGGGAAAAATTGCCCCTCCCTCTGCAAAAAAAAAAACCCCACTAAACTAAATAAATAAAAGGGAGGAAGGAAGAAAAGCTTACATCATGAAAATGCAAAATCACTAAAGGCTGTAATTGAAAAAAAGAAAACTAAGGGGAGCTCTGTGTGTTTGGCATTAATGACTATTTTTAAATAAAATTAAACACTTTACTCAGCACGTCAAAAATAGCTTTCTTACTCCTAATTCTCCCTACAAGCAGGTTTTGGGAGTAGGAATTGCTCTTCCTTTCTCTGAATATTGTTTTCTACCTTAACAAAGGACTTAATTTCAAACTGGTGATTATCTAAAAAGATATCAGATTTGTGAAATCAAGAGTAAATCTGAATTTTAATCCAGAATAAGAGAACAAAGATTTTTAGTTCATTTTCGTATTATATAGAATCTCTAAATTAAAAGAAAACATTTAGCTACTATAGATTAAGAAAAAATCAAAGATCAATACTGGAAATGGACAGTCTATTATATGATAATATGTAATGTAGAACACAAAGCATTTAAATGTAGAATGATTCTGGGGATTCTATCAAAGGGAGCCAAATCAGATTATTCAGTGTATGGCTACAATGGGGAGCAAAATTTCTAAAAGAACTTTTTTTAAAAAATGCATATTCTGAACTACTGGAAGTAACTCTTCTTCAGGACAGTTCAATTTTATCAGAGTAAATCTGCACACAAGAGGACTATCAGTTTACCAGCAGCTTTCCAGCGGGACCCCACTTTGTATTTTGGAACCTCTTCGCTTAAGTCAAGCTAAAATCAAGTTCTTGTAACAGCTGTGCTATTTACATTGTTCCCTTAGTTGTGCATTGCCCTGGTCTCTGAAAATGAAAGGAAATACACTACAGTAGCAGCTGATGCTTTCAACTTGCCCCCACACTCCATCCCAAACTCATTCTCTCACCCTCTTCTCAGCCCTTTTCAAAGCAGGTAAGTGAAGCTGTGCAGGAGCTTCAGACAGAGCTCAATTCGTGTGAGGAGCTGTGCAATGTGGAGAGCTGGAGATGCAGGATTCAAACGGAGAGCTCGGCACAGCCAACACCAGTTCAGCTCCCTGTGCTCTACCAGCCTGCCTCCAAGCATGCCCTGCTCCGAGAACCGAGCCCGAAAAGCACATCACAAGGAAGGGATGGGGCATGCTTTGTCTCCAAACACAACAAAACATCCTATTTTGAAGCAGATGAGTGCCTGTCTTCTTAGACTAGGTAGAAGGGAGAAATCTGGGGTACATTCCCTGTTCGACTACTATTAGAATCCAGGCTGAGACACAATCTCTTCTGAACAAACCATATACCAATGCAGTGTCATCACAGTAACCCATTCTATAAATACCAATGCTACATCCATATCAAAGGCTGTTAAAAGAATATTTCAGAGTATATTATTCTATTAGTTGAATGATCTAATTCTTCCAAGTACAATTCCATTACAGGTTACAGTAACATGTATTCCAGAAGCATAACTGATGAAACTGTTGCTATAGACACAACAAAAGAATTAAGCCACAAAATGATGATAAAACATATTTTAAAAGAAATGCAGATGTGATGTTTTCAGCTTTTAGAATTAAGATTCCTAAGTCTACACAATTCAGCTTAACACAAATAAATCTTCTGTCAAAATTGCTGAATGTAATCAGACACAAGATTTTATTAATTATATTCATTCCTAAGTTCAGGGGCAAGAGCTTCATGCCGTTTCTTCATACAGAGGTTTTCAAGCCTATTGTTAGTTCCACTAACATTTGAAAATTCAGATTCTTCTCTAAGCATGAGCATCTACAAACACATACAAGCAGACATTCTGTCCTGCAGAAAAATTATGTTGATGTATCACCCACTTCAAGAATAATTTTATACATCAAAACTGTAATTGTTTATATTCATTCAGTACATACATCTGCTTAGATGTAGGGAAGAAAAGAAACACAAAAAGGTTGGAGGGTGAGGCTTCTGCGTATTTTTGCCCTTCATTTTACACATCATTATTACTTTTACTAAGAGAAGACATCACTAATGCATCTTAAATCAGAAGAGTTGTTGAAAACCACTACTATAAACCTCTAAATTAGCATTCACATGACCTAGAGAATGATGACATACTGATAAAAAAAACTGCTATGAAAATCTCAATCAGTGCAGTCAAGCTAAACTCAAAAACAATTCACAGTGCTCTATTATAAGCAATTAGACAATTTTAAAATTGCAATATGGGTCATTATTTTATTCCATAATATAAAAATAACAAAACTCAACCTCACTAAATAAAAAATGTAATACTCTATCTCTGAAGAGAGTATCAAAGCATATTTGATATGTCTGGCTTTATTAAAAAAAATACAGAATCTTTCAACATTCCTCATTGATATGGGGATAAAATTATAAACACTGCTGTAAATATTTGCTGGGCCACAAAAAAGTCCAGAGCTGTGTTATAAAACAGACTAGCAAACTTAGAAAAATGAGAACTCACTTGGGTGCTATTTCCTACAAAAAGGAAAGTGTTTAACAATGACGAGAGCTTTGGCTCTTCTTAGGTATCTATGTACACAGACTAGTGGGGCATTTATACCATATGTGTGTTTCCCCCAAAAGATAATAGATTCATGGTATCTTATGCTGAACCCAAGAATTCTGGGTGAGGGAAAGGAGTTTATTTAAAAACAGTTTTCAGTAAAGTAATGTCAGAAAAAGATTTTGAAATCATATTGACTTTGAGAAACCAATACGAATAAAATGAATCTGAAGTTAGTCTACATTAAAACCACACTTGGGTATAGTTTTAAGATAGTCCTTTATTTTTCCTCCCTGTCTTGGCCTTTAAAATATGAATTTTCTTCTGATGCCCACAAATGACGCTGATCATGTGGTAAGTATGATTAGGATATACTTGTTTTTGAAAAGATAGTCAGCAGAGAACATTTCTGAGCAATACAATCAATATTTTTGCTACGTGTAGATTTTCCTGGAAAAATGAACCCAAAGATCTGACTTCAGATTAAGAAACTCAATTTTATAGGGAAAAGCAGAATTAAAAAAAAAAAAGCAAGCTAGGAAGTACTCACCTCTTCACGTAATTTTATCAACTGCAACATGAATGCACCAAAAAAAAAGATAAAAAGGAAAGAAATGGCAGGAAAGAAAGATCAGTTGTGTGACAGGATACAGAATTAACATTGACAATTTATCTGTTTACATGTTTAGCATTTAAAAATCACAGACAAACACATTAAAAGAACCTAAACATAGACTACATGCGGAGTTTTTTGAACGAATAAAGATCACTTTCTCACACTGTCACATTAAACAAAGAGAATAGTGTGAAATTCTCTTTTAAAGTACATCTAAGACACCATCATGAAATAAAGGGGAACGACTTCATAGAAGTCTATATTATAAAGAAAGAAAACAAGTTTACTGTTCTCTCTTCTAAGAAGGTACCACTGAAGAGGTTTTGTATATACAAGTCTTCAGGATGTTTCTCTATTTTGAGTCTTGACAACTGATATCAGACTTTACCTACAAATGAAAATGATTAATAGTTCATGCGTTTGTCCCAATAAGTATTTAAAACAACAAACTACTGTGTTAGTTAACGACATACTTATCCCCACTCTAGTAATAGGATTGCATTTGGAGGTAACATTATTTTAATTGAAAATAAAGCATGCCAGGATTGACAGTATTCAGGACATAGTATCAGAAAATATTTCACTATCCTTAGAAATACTGTATATATCAGAGTTAACTTCTAGGTTTTGTTTTGCTTAAGAGGCTACCGCAGTCACATGGTGTTTCTATTTCAATTTTTGAAGTTTCTTCATTTTTCAATTTTCTTTCTTTTGTAAATCTGGGCCATCTCAAAGCAATGAGCTCTCTTACTTCATTTGTACTGCAGTCTGTTCTCACTAAAGAGAAACCCAAAACTGCTCTTTACTTGTTAGTAAATTCTCCTATGATAACATTTTAATTCTCCTCTGTAAAACATTTTTCTATTTGCCTCAAATATAACAGATAAAACAAGTTGCTTAACTCTTTAAAAACTAGACAATGGATATAATCATATATCTGGTTCACTCCGTGTGTGGGTGTCCATGTGTGTTTGACAGTATTCTAAACCACAAACATCATTGTATACCTGAGATGACTGCCATAGTTTCTGCAATGATAGAAACTGAAACCTATGGTGTAAGAGACTGTAAACCACATTCTGGGTCTGAAATTTGCATCCTCAGCAATTCAGATCTACAACTGATAATTTTAAACATCCAAATATCTAGCACATCTGTTATAACACTTGACATATGCAGGCCAATAAATTAAAGTACTGCTTTGGGAGAAACGTGCCATGAATTGCTCACTTAAGTCTCTCTAAAAGTATCATGTTTACTATAGCCCGGATTTCTCAATGCTTAATGCTTTTTTTGTCTCCAATTCAAGGAAGGCAGTATGCATTCCAGCTTATTCTGTCATTTCATTTGTTATATGAAAACTATTTCAAGAACAAAAGAATGAGATTTCAAAATTGTTATGAATCTTTTACAAAAAGAGTACAGAATCTATTACATAATGTCTCACTGCATTTAGTGAAAATGAAACTTTGAATATCATCTTTTCAAAATATACAAGAAGTTGTCATTATTTTTAATTAATACACACTCTCTCAGCAATCCTCCAATGGGTATGAATAAAGCATCTCATCATTTCATGTGAAAAGTTACTATTCTTCCCCAGAAGAAGTAAAATTTTAAACTAAAATACCTGGTCTATCATATATCGGAATCTGTCTCTTTGCTATCCGAACATCATGGGAGAAAAAGGCAAACATTAATTCTCAGAAAGAGACGATCTGGGAATTGATCGCACAGCTATCTTTTCTTTCTGGGGGCACCCTTCTTCAGTTGACTATGATACTTAAGGGGCCAAAGTTTAAAACTACTCCTCAGCAATAGAGACCATTTGGGGCATGCCACCCTGCCATAATCAATGAGTGTTTAAAAATGCTACCCATTTGTTTTTTCAATAGGTTCCAAACAAAAAACGTTCTATCTTGTTTGTGCTGCATGGCTGCATTCAAGCTCTACACCGGATTTGTAGCTAAGCTAGGTAATGGGAGGGTTTTTAATCTTTATCTTTTTTTTTTTTTAGTTAGGCCGAGAGTTTTCATTCAAGTAAACAAAAGATGGTTTATTTTTGAAAATTAACAATGCTTAGACTAGGTTGAAAGTAGTGATTTCGTATTTTATCGAGTTTCTAGCTCCATCATGGGCGACATGAAAGTGTGCCATGCCTCCATGTTGAGTTATGATAATCAACATCTTTTTTGAAACAAAGATTTTTTTTTCCCCAATGCAGAATTTGATACAAGAGGTAATCTGTTCCTTTGTGGGCTGAAAAAATCTGGTTTACGCTGGTTTGAACCAGTGGAATCTCTTGTGGCTAAGCCTTCTGCTGTGACTAAAATCAAACTGCACTGCAGAGCATGTGAGGGTTCATGCGCGCGCGCCTCCATGTGTGAGGTGCGTCATGTGACCCCCAGAACTACCGAATTTTTTTTAAAGCTGATAACGCGACTGCCGTCTCTGCCCGCATACAGATAACGAATAAATGCTGAACTCTATTAAACGCCCTTTACACATTATCGTGGGTCGAACATACAATTTTCTGAACTTATGATGACAGTCTATTTATTTTGCTATAAACCCTCAGCACGTAACGAACAGATTTGTGCCTGGTAATGATCTGCTCTGCCAGGGCTATATGAAATGATACCGACCTTCTTTAGATCTTGGGGAATTAAATTGACCGACTTCACCCCCTGGTCTGGAGCTGAAGTTTGACACACTTTATGCACAGCAAGCCCAAATCGGAACTTAAAGAGAACCTCATATTAAAAAATTAAGCAATCATATCTACTGAATATTGCCTTACCACAAAAATTTCGGCACGTTTAGAAATATCCTACTCTTGATGTATATTTTAAACCTTCTATTTAGGATTTACTCAAATTTATTCACTGATCAATGTAATTTTGCATCTGAAAACTGAGAGACTATTAGGGTTCAAAAGCAGAGCTTGGAACATTTTATTTGGTCCATTATCATACTCCAATATGAAGGGGATTTAATTCTATGTTTTTTTCCTTTTCTGAGAATGGTTTTCATGAAACTAAATCAAGTTAACGACTGTTAAAGTTTTCACTCTAAATACACTCTAAATATAGCATCACTATATTTCAAAAACAACTCTCAAAAATTAAAATGTTGCCATATGAAATGGAAAATAGGATATTTTAAAAGAATAGAATGATAATACCTAAGACAACAGATAATGACCCAACAATACTCAAATGTGCAAGGTAGGTAATTCTGTCCCCTCTTTGTAAATCAGAGATGAGCTATACTTGAGTGTATGAAATGGATAAGAATCAGAAATGAATTTATACAAAGTAGTTAATCTGGAATTAAATGAAATTGTGTACTGTATGAGGGACAATAAAGATGCATTTGAAAAATCCTTAATTTCTGAAATCTTGACATTTCTAATCATGGCAGAAATGTTTATATATATGAGTAAATTAATATACTTTATAGTTAATTGGCAGATTATAACTATGTGGATAAACAGGTAGGTTTTAGATGCCTCAAAAAATGCACTGTAAATAACCAGAATGAGAAATAACAGCTATGGCATTCACATTTGTCTAAATCTCCTCAAAGAAGCCATTATAGGGAGGATGTATATACTGCATCGAAAATAACTAGTCAGCACTTAGTTTATTTTACCTATCTGTAACCATTGCTATGAATTCTTTATGATTTTCCTCTTCTGATCTACAATTTTTGGAAATTGAGATATATCCCAATTACAATGAAACAAATATTGCTATTTTTGTCATTTTGTTTATCTCCAAGTTTTCTCTGTATATATTAAAAATTTATCATAAATATTACACAGCCAAGAAGTTCTGAAAATCAATTTATCAATAATTAACTTGAAAATAAACATTTGTGGGCAGAAAATATTTTCTTATATAAATTATAGGTAATCCTACCCAGAAAAAACTATCTTCTCAGTCATTGAGCTACAAAAATTAACATGAAGAGCCAACTTAAAATCTTTTCTGTCTTTATAAAAAAGGGCATCTTGTTTTGATTCCATCATCTGGATGAACACTGATGCAGAATAAAGAGTTATTCTCAAGTGACCATTCCTGGTTAGGGATGTGTTGTGATTGGAGGGATTTTGATTCCTATTATATGATAAAGAGCCTCAAAACAAAATTTAATGACTTCATTGTGATAGGGAAATTTTGCTACATTTGGTAACAAAATATCCAAAAAGTTAAGTGTGGTCCCTTTGAACTTTCAAACCTAATTCAAATTTTAGACTGAAAAGTTCGTGTAAGTAATAATCTAACAGTTACACAGTCTCATGACTATAATTTATCAAACTCTATTTATTGAAGTGACAGCTCCTTACAACCAAACTTCAGGTTCTCCAAGCACTTTCAGAATTTGTAAGTTTGATTTATACAAGTCCAGGGGAAATCTCTGCGTAATCACTTTAAAGTGACAGGAAGATAATTTGAAAAATTCAGAATATATGAACTCAATCTATTTTTGTGGAATATTTTTCTTTAGGCATAAAAAAATCATACGTATATGTGCATAAGGCAAATGTTTGAGGCACAGAAAATGTCCATTAAGAGAAGTGAACATGCTTAAAGAAAAAAAGGATCCCTGTGACAGGACTACAACATCCATTACAATAAAGGAGTCTGAGCTAGACAGGAACACCTCCTTCCTAGTTCCTCTATATTAGGCAGTAGTTTCAAATGAGGGAAAGATCTATGGCTTTTTAAAGAATTGACATGGGAGCTATGCATTCACTTTTTTTTGCAAAAAAGTAATGCTTTTTTGCAGCAAAGATAGGAAATAAAATTATGATTCATTCACTCAAGAGGTATGAGCAATCTAAATCTCACTTAAAATAGCAAAAAAGCATTTTTTTCTCTCATCCCCACATTATTTAATCTAGTATGAGTAAAACCCCTTTATCACATCATCCTTTTATGTTTGATGTGCTCCTTATATTGTTTCCCTCAGCTATTCTCACATTTCAGTCAGGGAAGCTGGAATCCCAAGTCAAATCTTAATGTGTTAACATGTCTGAACTCAAGCTGACAACATCCAAATAGTGGAGGAGGTGAGATCTTTCCAAAAACAAACATAATCAGCCCAGTGATTCTTCTCCCTTTTTTGGGATGGGTGGATGGAAGCCTTAATCACATAAGCAACATCTCTGTTTATAATATTTGCATTATCATAGAGAGTAATACAGTTTCGGCATATATAGACCTATAATATAATCTACTTGAAATGGTAAATACAATTATGCAATGTTCATAATGTGTATTGATACATTGTTTCACTATCATTAAAATTTTGGTTTACTCACTGAATGATTTATGTTCCTTTTTATTTAGGCAGAGTAGAGATCTTTACGATACTTGTTGAAGTAAAATTAATAAACACCTTCAGGTCTTGTTTCTGAAGTTACCTATCATTTGTTTTTGTAAAGTGTCAGAGAATCGGTCACTAATTGTTTGAGACATTTTTAGAGTCATCTCTACACTGAGGTTCTTGAAACATTTTTTAAAGTCAGATATATTATCTTTTCATTATGAATTAATGAAGTCTGTAGCATTAATTCAAAGAAAGAAGTGGGATAAGTAATTAAACTCATGACACTATTGTGTGAGCCAATGAGAACTGACAGCCAAGTTGTACGACCCTTTTAAGAAGAAATTCGATCTTGTTTTTTGCCTGTGCAGATCTTAAACTGCAAAAAGACTTCTCCTAGTATTATTATTAATATTATTATTATTATTTGACAGAGGCAGGACCTCTATATGAGTATCCAAGTTCCACACTGGTGCTTACAATTTGCATTTTGGTGAATGTATTTTTAAGAAGCTGCACAATAGGAGACGGAGCTGCCCTGTTGAATTTTGAAAGCTCTACTTTCATTTGTTTTGCTGCAAGTGTTGATTTAATTATACTGCATTATTATCAAAGCTGCATTATGTACTTTTTTATTCCTTTTACATGTGTTTGAGGTGAAGACCTTGGCTTTGTCTGCAAACAGTGTGTTTCAAGTTACTCCTTAAGTACTAAATAATAAAGAAAAGAGAAGAAAAGATTTTTTTTAAGATAGCAGACAGTGATCACAAGGTAAAGGGTTAAATGTAAGATCTCCAAGAAACATTTTGAAGTTGATTAAGACTCCAGCTTTGCATTAAACAGTATCGCTTCCACATGAGTTGCTGCTAATACTGTTAAGGAGCAGCTTGAGAGCCCAGTGTGCCAGTGACCTCCTTCACCCTCCAGCCACCCACCGGGCCTTCCTGATTAGCATTCTACCTGGTTCTCTGAGGAATTCCCATCATCCCCTAGGAGCTCATTCCGTACTTCGTCACTGTAGGCGATCCGTGACCTTTTCTATAAAACAAAACAAAAAGGGAGAGAGCAAGATGAACGTTGGAAAGTAAAGGCTTCGAAGCATTATTGGTATCAAGGCTGATCATCTCAAACCTCGAGAGCCCCCTAATGGAAACCTATTTGCTAAAATCTGCAAACCAAAGTTGTGTAAAGTTCTTGAACTTGCAAAGTTTAATGTAAATTAGAAGTTTTTCAAGTGCCAATAATGAAAGAAAACTCTGCATTGTGGAAGTACTCTATTAATATTCACAAACGGATCCAAACTGGTATATTATTCCATATATAGTCATTCAAATAAGACCACTAAACTGAAGGAAAGACTGCTACAGAGCTGTATAATCTGCAAAACTCACCAGATTACAATTAAAACAAGAGTATATGGGGGTCTTTAATATTGTGGCAGGAAAGGCACTATACAATATAAATCTTTTAAAATCTCTAATTCTAGGATAATCTTATATCTGCAACTATACACTAGAATGCCTGGAAAATAGTACATCTGTATTTCCTTCATTATTGTGATGTTACTAACCAGAAAGAAATGGAATTTAAAAGCCCATCCCATTTCCAAACAATAATTTAAATATCTCCAAGTCCCCTATAAATAATGGCCTAGGGAAAAGTAATGGGAGTGCGTGTGTGTGTGTGTGTGCGTGAAAACAAATTAAATTCCCCAATCCCAGCAAATAAAGACAAGTGGGCTATGAGTCAACGTTTCACACACTAAAATTTTGTTTTACAAGAAATCTCCTTTACCTGTAAAGTCAGAGGGATATGTCTGTAAGTAATTCATGAATCATCCAGGTTGTCTAAATGTACACACATTTTTAAAAGCTAAAAGGCTCTGAAAATTAGTTGTGAAGCCAGAGTGCTGTCCTCAGATCTTACTTCAGCATCACTATTGCAGACTCAAATGCAGATTTACAGGTTACTTTGCTGTCTTTTCTGCTTCTGAACTAACTAAGCAAAATCAGTCAATTAAAAAATGGCAGTGGGAAACAGTAATCTTTTCTCACTTGGAGTCTACGGTTTAAGGTTTAAAATTTCTTACCTGTTCAACTACAATCTGAAAAATTATTGTACTTTAAAAAGACTATCCATAATCCATGACTAGAACTCAACAAGATTTTTGATTAGATTTTTAAACTAGTAAATGAGTAACACTGCTTTGCCACCTAGAGATCATAATATCTTAGACGTAAAAATCATATTATATTAGAATTTAAAAGGACTTTCAACAAGAAAAACCAATAGATTTTAAATCATTTGAAAGCTGCAGCCTTTCTCAATTGGTATTCCTTATCTGAATGACAAAACACAGAAAATTATTTCAGCATCTATTTTCTCAATTCTCCCAAGGATGGTACATAAGAGAGAATTTAGTTCATTACATAGAACAGAAGCCTTAGGGCATTAGGGCTTAACTCTCTGGCAGAAGCCAGTTGAAAAGGGCTGAATGGAGTATAAATAAAAATAAATTAATCTAGACACCCCTTTATTTAAAAAAAACAAAAACAAAAACAACTCAGTCTCATGGAGTTCTAAAGGTAGCTTTGGTTAAACTGAGACCAGTATGTTGTGGTCCTGACTCACAGCTCAGTGCTCAATTTACCACACAGAATTTCCTCACTGTGTTAGCGCCCTCTGGATACACTCAGGAAAAAGGTAACAAAAAGTGCAAAAGGAGATGGTGGCATCCCTTCCCTGCCTTGAGTCTCCACCCCAAGGCCCCCTTCCCTGCCACAAATGTATATCTTACACTTTAGCAAATGCAGTGAGACTGTGGGTAGATAAATAACACCAACAATGCTGGAGAGAAGACAAAGTAGAAAAGTTAAGTCATTAGCCTGAGGTCAGTAATGACAACTATATCAGATGTCTTAACAATTCAGGAGTGACCCAATTCATTCAACTGTGAATATGCCAGACTTCTTACCCCGACAAACAGCAAACTACTTCAAACCTGGTTTCCTTATTGTATTTACTGAAGCCACTATTAATTAGCTATTTCTATTGACTTCATACAGAATTGCACTGAAAAATGCTAAATTACAAGGACAGTACACTTCATGGCCTTACAACAATATTTAGATCAAGCCAAACCTTTCTTTTGCCCATTTGGAGATCCCCACTATAGAAGTTTCAAACTAGCTAAGCAAAAGTATTTTACAGCATTAAAGGAAATGAGAACCTTTAAACAGGCTGTGGTATCAGAGCTGCCTTTTTAATTATTCATTTCATCACTATGGGGGACTAAAACATTCCACAGTATGCAAGAATATCATATGGAGATTGTTTTTGTTTTTCCCTTTTTTCACCAAAATGCCAACAAATTGGCATAGATTGTTCAATTACATTATATTCTTATTTTGATTTACCATACCTCAAAAGAAGAAGAAAATTGTAAACGTAAATCCCTAAATATCTAATCTTGTTTGGTTAGAATCCATTGCTTTTGAAAACCAGCAATTAACAGTGTGCATGCTCAGTAATAGGGGAACTAAAGATTTATCCACAGTTGAAGGGTGGTCCCCATAAATGTCATTCTTTACATTGGGATGGTAAAAACTGGTCATTTGGATGGCTTTCTGGCTGTAATTGAGCAAATGATACACTGAGTTTACAAAATGTTCTCTGATGGCACTGAATTCTCTTGAAGAACGAAAAGACAACTCATTTTAAATATCAGAAATTATTCCTCATGAAAATGACAAACCAATGCTGACAACTGAACTCTTTACACTCAAGTATCATTTTACAAAAATTTTTAAAAATCAAAACTTTGCTTTATTAAGAATTATATTTAAACGCCTGACATTGGTATTTTCTCCTAATTTTTTATGGTTTGAAATTTTAAGTAAGCTGATTGTAATCAACCATAATTTAACCTGTAGGATCATCACTAAATGAATTGAATACCAAAAAAGGCAAATTCCTTTGAATGACAAACTGCTTATTCTATGGATAATTTTCCTCCAAAACATCAGTAAATTATTTTACCTTTTATGGAATTTTTAAAAACTTCACTTTATTTTATTAAGTACTATGTCATACTTTAATTTGGAAGATTCAAAGTTAATGAAACTGAAGCATCTACTGTATCTTGATAAACTATTTTTACTTTATTGTCAACTGTATAAAATCTGTACTTTAGCCAAATGCAAGCATGAGAATTTGAGCTGGAAATGTCACACACTCAGCTACAGTTTGAAGGAACCCAATTCATAATGCATTTTATAAATAGTTAATGACTTCTATACATAAGCTAACCAGGCAAATCAAGAAATTGTCAACATTTTTAGTCTTAGTTGTCAGTTACCACTGTCTACTGGTGCTTTATGTGTGGCTTCTGGAGAAGACAGAAGCTCTCCGCAGTTTGTAATCTATTGCAATTTAGGGTCTGTACCATAAGGGTGGAAAAGCTTCAAGTGACAATACTGCCACATGCAGACACACACACACACACACACACATACAATGTTAAATACAAGAGCATTCCTCACTTTTAGTTGTGTGTTTGTGTAAAACTTATTCTAATTTATACACTTAGGTGGACGAGACACAGCTGGACAGAAAAATATACAGACCAAATGTGAACTATAGAAAAAATATGACAAATTAACAACTGATTGTTATCCCTAAGAAGTTAGATGCACAAAGTTGCAATGGCTATTATAAACTGATGACGAACGTGAGTCTTTAGTTATGAAAGCGAGAATTTCAATTCCAAGCAGTTTTCACTCAGTATATGAACAGAACTTTTGCATACTGATTGGCTAATTTTCTTAAAGCAAGTTCAAACAAATACACTTGCTCAGTTCTCTCTGGAAATTTGGCTTGCAACAATTTATCTACTTGACCCAAGACTTAACATTTCCCAACTGAAATGAGTATGTTCCTGGACAGACACTGCTAAACTAGAAACAAAATGAATTAACTTAGCTTAAACTCATTAAGAGCTGTGATCTGTGGTTCCACCTCCTGTATGACTCTACATGTGAAACAGGGTATACATAACCAGAATGAGGATTCTACAACCCACCGCGAGCGTAAGCATAACAATGAAGTTGGTTTATTACTAAGCGTATATGAGAATTTAATTTCCATGGCGTGCACATGGCAAAGCAATTGCTTAAATTGCCTCACCTGGGAATTTAATACAATGTTATCATCAGACCAGCCACATTGTAAATAGATTTATAATGCTTTCCATGTGCTGCACACTGTTGCATATGAATTAAGTAATGATCTGGTATTACAATAAAATCAGCTAGTTCCCACACCTGGCAGACAGGATATTTCACTAAATTAATACCCATACAGCTACATCACAAGGCATGGGAGAGGAAACCATCTCTAAGGCATTTGACTTGAGTTTTACATGGGAGGCAAACACTCGATGGGTATGCAGAATGTCACTATGTTGAATGGGCTGCTCAAGACAATCTGTTTCTAACATCTGTATCACAGAATTAAGACTTTCTCATTCCCATTCAATTTTGGCCTAATTTTCTTCATTCAGTACTTTAATTACTAATCAGCAATCCACAACATTCACAAACACTAAGAAAGCCCTTTATTCTAATCTATGTGCTGCAGACAGCCAAATAATTGATACAAAGTGCAGTAAGTAATGAAAGAACAGCTTGTCCTACTTCCTAATCAAATTGGTCTATAGAAGAAATGGTTAATAGATTTCTCCATAGGTCTAAAACAAATTACCCAGTCTGGCCAGACTTTTCCATTGCTTCTACCATGTCTTTCAGTCTCCATATATTTAATAATGCCCAAGGTTACCAGGTGATACATCTATTAAAAACTCTCATGCTTTCATAGCCAAAGAATTTAACTGCTCTAAAGAATTTAACTGCTCCTGTTATAATTAACACTTTGGGATATCTACAGAATACCATGAAATTATATTTATTAGCTAGTCATATAATTGCTGGCATTCATTTCTTACTTAATTTTATCTGGTTCTAATTAAATAATATCATACT